GAGAAAGATACAAACAGATATTTTATAAAATATGAAAATGGCTCATTAAGTCATCAAAGTGTGCTTAATCTTCTTAAAAATCAAATAAAGATTAATTAAAATAATATTCCCATATCATTTTTATTATTATACCCATTGACTCTTAACATCAATGTTTATCACAGGATTTTTAACAGTGAATATTTAGCCGTCAACTAAATACACAGAATTGAGAGACTAGAAAAAGAAATTAATGTTGTCCCCACATGATGGGGACTGTATGCACCAATTAAGAAATCTTATATAATCCATATATATATGTGTGTATATAAATGGTTCTAATTTTATCTATATTATATATAATATACAGTATACTTAAAACATACATTTGTGCACACACATATTCATTATAATAGAATGGATAGGAAATAAAACAATAGATTAATTGTAATGATGGAGATATTAGTTTATTTCTCTGTTCTAGTGTATTTTATGTGCGTTATATTTTCTAAATATTCTAGGTTTAAAATATTCATTCATTAATTTTATAATGATAAAAAATGGTTTAAATTGAATTCAATTAACTGATAATGATAATAGCAAAAATAATATTACCAGCAAAAGGATGAAGATATCTAGAACAGAAAAGCAAGTATTGATTTTTTTTAAATCATTTGAGAAATTAACAAACTGAGGGTCTGCATACTATACTAAGTAACTCTACTGTGATCAGAAATTCAGTAGCAGGGGCACAATATTAGAGTCCATCGCCAAATATATAGGAAGATGATGACTCTAGCAGTAATCTCAACAGAGAGGTACGCTGAGAAAGAATTCTGAAAATCTTGAGACTTCGATTATAGAAGCAGTAAAATTGTTAAAAATATCAAAGGCATATAGTGAAGTTAGGATAATCATTCTAGGTTGTTCAGCTGTATCTCTGAAATATAGTTCCATTATAGTGACAGTGGCTGTGAAGAGGACAAGGGGAGCAAATGGACAGTGTCCAGAGGCATGGATAGTGCCCTGGACACGGACAGGGGAGACCCACGTGCCTCTGGCTTCCTTAAACATCTCTTGCTACTCTGAGCAAATGTCCCCCTCATCTCTGAGCTTCGGCTTCTTTAAATGGAAGGAGCTGAAACAAGTAGTCCCCATGACTTGTATTCTAACATTCTTTGGTTTCAAACCCATTTTCACACTTGGTAAGCTACTAAGACAAATTAGTCTGCCTTGCAACTTTCTTTTTCTTTTTTTTTTTTTTAAGATTTTATTTATTTGAGAGAGAGAGAGAACACAAGCAGGAGGAGGGACAGAGAGAGAGGGAGAAGCAGATCCCGCCCCAAGCAGAGAGCCTGACACTGGGCTTGATTCCAGAACCCCGGGATCACGACCTGAACTGAAGGCAGACGCTTAACCCACTGAGTCACCCCAGTGCCCCTTGCCTTGCAACTTTGAATATTGACCAAGTCAATACAGAGGAGCCTCAAAACCCAACCATAAAAAGCTAACAATCCTAACACATCCTGGAAAGGTTTAACCCTACTTCCCCTGAAACCCCGCTCTCACCCTCAAAAGACTCCATGAAAACCTCTTCTTTTTCCCCATTTCTGAAAACAATATATATTTGTTAACAGCAATAACAATACCATCAATGATAGTAATAATGCTTAATGGTTATTTAGCACTCACTCCATGTTGGGCACTGTGCTACTTTATATTTGCTATCCTTTCCCTCATTTTATATATGAAGAAAGATCATACAATTAGAAGCAACAGAACATTTATGAGTGACATCTGAAAAGCATAACCATACTCATGGCACAAGTTATTATGCAAACAGTTGAGCAACCAAGTTCACTAGCTCAATTATATTCATGTGTAATAGAAAGAATGAAGACCTTTGGGGCCAGCGAAGTGTCAAGTACGAAACAACAGACTGACCTTATGCCTACAAAAACAGAGGTTTATATGGCCATAGAGTCAGTTAAGACACAAAACTGTAGATAGAACTTTAATCTCTGGAGGCTAGGGGCAGAAGGCAAAATAAGAGATAAAAGTGTCTTTAATTTTCTGGTTCTGAAACAATCAAAGCACATTTAGAAAATATATACTATTTAACAAGTCATAAGTAACCCAGATTTTCCATCAGTAACTCTTCCAACTGTGCAAATGTTTGGAAAGTAGTGGAAAAATGAAGCTGCACAAAATAAAGTAGATGTCTGATTAAGTTTTTAGATCAAGAATTCTCAAGCCTGGGTTTAAAAATGAGGGTAAAAATGACTGGGAAAGTTTGTTCAAAATGTAGTTTCCTGGTGCCATCCCCAGAGATTCTGATTTGGTAGGTAAATCTGCATTTTAAAATGCATACCCCAGGGGATTCTGATACCCATAGTCTATACAGGTCTACCACAACTCTATAGTGTGAAGTCCTACACCTGCAAATTAATCTGAGACAATTACAGAGAAAATGTACATGGAAGAAAACACAGTGGATTATTCTATCCTAATTTATAATTGACCAAATCACACATTTATGTTACCTCCTTTGAGCTTTGCAATGCAGTGAGACAGTATTACGGCTTTTACTTCCATTTAAAAATGAGGAAACTGAGGTTCACAGAGGTTAAGTCATTCGGCCTTGAGATAACAAGCCATCAGGACTTAAATCTGGGTCTTTTAAATGCAAATTCCATGTTCTTGCAAGTCACCCTTAAGGAAACTTTTGTACATCTCTTCCAAGTTACTGGAATATGAGAGTTGGCAAACTATGGCCTAAGGGCCAAATCTGGCTGGCAAGTTCAGGCAGGTTTTTACATTTCTAAATGGTTGAAAAGAATTAAGATAATAATATTTTGTGACATGAAAATTGTAATGAATTCAAATGTTGTCTAGAATAAATTTTATTAGAACACAACCATGTTCATTAGTTTACGAATTGTCTATAGCAGTTTCCATATTACAATGACAGAGCTAAATAGATAGAGCAGAGACTGTATGCCCCTCAAAGCCTAAAATGTTGACCATCTGGCCCGTTACAGAAATATTTGCTGACCCTTGCAACAACTACTGTTTAAGCACTTAATAAGAATCAGAAACTGTACTAAGAATATATATGCATATAATTTGAATATATATGCAAATAGATATATATCTGTACATAGTTTGTTCAGCTACCTCTCCATTCCCCTTTATCCCATTAAAAAAATTTTTTTTAAATATTTGAAAGAGAGAGAGAGAGAGCGTGAGCCAGGTGGGAGGGGTAGAGGGAGAGCGAGAACGAGAGGGAGAGCGAGAACGAGAGCGAGAGCGAGAGAGAGTGAGAGAGAGAAATAGAGAATACTCAAGCAGACTCCCCACCGAGCACGGAGCCCCATGTGAGACTTGATATGGGCTCAACTTGGGGCTCCACACAGGGCTGATCCCAGGACCCTGAGATCACAACCTGAGCCCAAAATCAAGGGCTGGCTGGCATCTTAACCAACTGAGCCACCCAGACATCCCTCCATTTAAAAATGTTTAAAACATCTGATAATCTTGGTTTTTCAGAATGTTTTTCCTTTTTTGAAGGCAGATGTAATCATGTAATGATTTTCATGTTGAGGAGTGTGAGACGGGCTCTCTAAGAGGCACATATCAGAATCTCTAGTAGAGAAGGGAGGGGAATTTATAATTTGAATAAAACATACATATATGAAATTACTGAAAATTCAACAATTCCCTAGGCATGTGGGTTTCAAGGAAAATGAGAGGGCATGCTAAGAGTTTGCATGGGTTACAAATGATTTTGAGAATAACTGAAATCTTTAATTTCCTTATTTTCTATTTACTGTCATTAATATCTTAAAGGCCTGCTGTTCTATTTCAGTCAAGAGAGACAGAAACATACATAGTAATTACCTCAGAGTTTTCCCAACTAAAAATTTAGGTAATTCCTAACTACTAATCAAAACAATAATCTTAGAAAGTCTGCCACATGAGTTTGGAGTATAAACTATGATACTAAAATGATGTAAACTATAAATGACACAAAGTTAGAGGCCTAGACTTCAAATTTCTCTGACTTCTAAATTAAGATGCCACTATCATACATTACACAAATATAAAATGCCTATCAAGAAACATCTAAATGAGAAAAACATAATAAATTGTATATTAATATCCTTTAGATTCTGCATTTGAATATAAAACTCAAACATTTCTAGAATTTGATTAACTCAAATATCCAACTGAAAAGAAACAAGAAATAATTTGAATTTCTAGGTGATATTTTAAGGTTATTCAAGGATACATTCAAGAATTATTTTAAAAGGAAATTTAAAACAAAGAAAGTCATCTGCTTTTACAAAGGCACAAAAATCTGTTCTTCATGAATTTTAAATTTGTTACTTATTATCATAAAGTAGAACAAGTAGTTCTAGTTCTACTTTATTACCAGAAAGAAGTAAATGATATTACTAACATTAATAAACTTTATTACTATAAACCAGTAAACCAGGAGAATAAAGTTCTACTTTATTACTATAAATTAGTTTGGGTTTTGTTACACTTTAGCATAATAGGTCAAAAAAAAAAAAGTTGTAGTATATATGTTTACTTTGTTTGCTTTGCAATTGGCAATTTACCTATGTAAAAAGTTTCCTGAAAAGTAAGATTACTTGAGCACTGAAATTGAAACAAGATGTTTAGTAAGTCATGATTTTCAAATATTGAATTAATTTCTCTATGACTGAATTATTCTAACTTTCTTTTGAATATTTCTGTTCTCTCCATCTTCTTGTAAGAAGATTTTTAGTTATTAATTTTCTGGAAAGCAAATAAAATACAGAATATACAATTTAAGAAACACACACACACATATAAACTTTTTTCATAATTACCCAGTTGATACAATTAGTACCCAAATCATACTATTGTTTTTCATACTATGATGTCATAAAATTCTTTATCCCAGAATCAGAAGACCATACCAATTATCTTATACACGATTTGGTAGATAAATCAAATTATTCAGTTCTTACCAGATCTTGCCCAGCACATCAAACAGAGAAAAATGTATACTCTCATTGGGAATCCAATAAAAGTAAAAGCAGCCCTCAGATTCAGCAAAAAAGAAATTCTGAAATTCATTAAGGTTTCTCTTTGGTAAGATTGTCAGAGTCTGGTAGGTTTTATCGTAAAAGATTCCTGATCTTTTGCTCCTCCCTGTTTGTAGTAAATGTAAGGTGGTTTGTTTCTCTTATCTGGCTTGTGGTGGTGAGAGGATTTTTAAGTCAAAACTCGAAGAAGGCACAAACAGCTGCCCAAGTTAAATTTAAAGGGAAAGAAAAAGTAATTATATCTTTCTTTATTTCTCTTAACCTCAAGATTTCAGAAGTGGTCAGGAAGAATATGTCTGTTGAAAGCCTAGAGCAAATGTGATGTTAAAAATGCTAGAAATGGAAAGAGTCAGAAAACGTTGTGGTTTATGTTCATTTTGATTACAAACTAAGCTGTCTTCATATACCATAAAATCAATAATAAAATCCATATCCATCAAGTAGTCAAATATAAAATATGAGATTTTCATGTTTGTGCAGTTTTGCAACCCAAGCTCAGTGGCTATTTCAAAATTCAAAATGCTAGCTTGTCCTTAAGTTCTATAATTGGATAATAAACAAAAAATATTTTTATTTTTAATATAACAAACATTTTTAAATTATGGGGTTTTTTTCACATTTACTTCATTTTTCCCCTTATTTTCCTTCCAGCAATAGACTTTAGTAGGTCTGAAAAATAGAGAACCGTTGTAAGTACATGCATTATCAGTTCAAAAATTAAATTTGTTTTTTATAAATTCAAGTCTCTATAAATTTCCAAAGATACTTTAAGAACAGAAATGCCTAATTCATATCATCAATCAGCAGAAACTAATCGAGGTCTGGGAGGTATATCAAAGAATCCACAAACAAAAAGAGGTATTCATTTAAAAACCATGAAAAATTTAAAAATCATCAATTTAAACTGTTCGCTCTCTAGGGATTTTATGTGAGACTTCATTTTTAGAAGGAGTCCACTACTATAATTTGACTGGAGACCACCAATGTACTTCTTTAACAAAGATAGGAATAATCATTCCTATCATTCTAATGATCTACTAATCATCCTAATCATTCCAATCATTTTGAAATGAGGGAAGAAAGGTAATATAAATGTCATACATGTTAAAAGAGAGTAACAAGTTTATACTTAAATTAAAAGATAAATCTTTCCTATTTAACATATAATTTTTTTTTATTTTGTGCTTTTGATGTGACACTGAAATATTAATCTTATAGATTATTTTCATCTTTGCCATTCTGAAGAGCTCATATTCAAAATATCAACTTGGCATTTAATACAGTACACTACATAGCAGAGTTTCAAAATATAAAAAACTATACTGTTTTCATATTTTTTTTTTTTAAGATTTTATTTATTTATTTGAGAGAG